GCCGAAGGCGAGGTAATCGCGGGCAGGGTCTTAGAGGTAGCGGTAGCGAGACCATCTGCGTGGCACACGGAGCGAGGTACGCTTCGTGTTGCTACTCGCCCATCTGGTCGGAGCGCGGTGGTTGCCGCTGCTGCTGCGGCAGCTGAAGCGAGGGCAAGGGTCGCCGAATGGCCACACGATTTGCCGGTGGGCGCCGTGAAACCGTCACCGAGACGAGGATTCGAGAATCAGGTGGCGATGGCCGAGCCTACTGGGAGTTGGCTGCCGGTGGAGGTGCGACCATCCACTTCGTGGGCAAGCTTGTCGGACGAATGGGACAACAGCAGGGCTGTCTCACCGTTGTTGATAGCTGAGCTTCGTCGAGGCGTGCGGACTCCGGAGCGAAGGCAGGAATTGATTGGGAGGTTTGGCCCGATCGTGGATGAATTAATTAGGCCGGAGGATCTGCTGCCGGAGCGTCCTTTGCGCTTTAGCGCACCGGATCCATCAGCTGTATCGGAGCGTCCACGACCTCGTAGGTTGCCGCCGGTAAGCGCGACGTGGCGCGCGAGTACGGATGGAGTTCCACCGGAATACCTAAGAGAGCTTCGAGAAGAGGAAGACGCGGCTAGATATGGAACGTCGAGACGACGCCGTAAGAACCGGAAAACGCCGAACTTCAATGACTACGAGCCGTCGTTTGCAGGTGCTGCTCTGAAAGCACAAGACACGAGAACGGTTCAGGTCGGACTTGAGGAGGCACGAGAGGAGCCGCAGCGAGAAACGCAGCGTGCTCTACCTGCCGCAGAGCCACCGATCATGGCGAGTTCGCTAGATTCGGTGCTAGCGACGCAGGAGGTACCGGTAGCTATGGATGTTGAGGCGGAAGGCGTGGATGCTCGGATGACTGTTTTGACTGGGGCTGACGAATCGGAATCGACGCGACAGCTAGAGGAAAGCGGGGCTGATGTGACGTTATCGCATCAAGCTGCTGATAGACCAGCTAAACCGTATAACGTAGGTAGTGGAAGGGATAGGTATCGCGTGTTCTCCGATGGGACACGCATTCCAGCACCAAGAGCGGGGGTGAAGGTTCGTCGCCGTAGGGAAAACCAGCAGGCGAGAGCTGCGGAGGCCGAGGTAGCGAGATCGCAACCACAGCCTCAAATCGCAGACCAGAGTCAGCTCGGGGTAGCACATTCGCAGCAACAGATTGTAGCGGGGTGTGAGCCGCGATCCGGTAGCAGCAATTTTGTTAGAGTTAGCTCGTTTAACGCCAGAACAACGGGAGGAAGTGACCAGGATCCAACGCCAGGCATGTGAACTCACTGCCAGGGCGATTGGCAAGGGCGCAGCCCCAGATAAAGCATGAGAAGGCTGAGGTACCAAATCTGTTCACTTTAAAAGGGTTTTATGTTGTTTTGATTTGTTTTATTTTATTTTTATTTTGTCTGTGTATGGCATGTTTATTTTTGTTTATTTATTTTTATTTTTATTGATTTTGAAGGTTTTGGCGAGCTGACTTATTGAAGTTTTTATGATTTTGATTTTGTAATATAGTTTTAAGTTGTTTTCTCGCTGGTCCTGTGTTCGAGCGAGGAGGGTTGCATTGGGTAACCCACGGGTGCCTGCGGCTTCCGCGGCTTAGCGGGGGGCTGTGACAGGGCTATAGCGATGCTCGCTGGCCCTGTGTGCGGCACTCTCCTCGCATGAACGCAGCGACCAAGTGTACGCTATATAGCGACTACATACTTGTGTCGTTGCAGGATCCGGAGGGAGGAGCGCGACGATCGGCGAGGTGTCGCCGTGAGTGCGAGTGAGAGCGAGAAGAGCGAGAGAGAGAGAGAGCGATTTTGACTGATTTTTGACGGCGAGAGAAGTGGGAGCGCGGCGGCGCGAGGCTTGGAAAATTAAGAGAGAAGAAGGGCAGTTAGGCGCGAGCTCTCAAGTAATTAGGGCCGCCTAAGGAGAGTCGGAACGAGAGGACTTTTCGGCCAGAGAGTAACGACGGCCGGAAGTACGACTGCCATTTGCCTGGAGAGCCAGAAGGTCCAAGCCGAGCCCGGACACGCAGCGACCATTCGCCGTCCCCGGGGCAAAGGCCGTGCTGCGGCCTCTCCTGCAGCAGTCCCCGTCATCACCAGGGCGCCACTTCCAGCGGGCCTGCGCTTTCGCCGGCGTCGTCTCTCTGCCGACGGACCGTCGGCATCCGGTGGGTCGAAAACCTGTTCATCTCTCTCGCGCCAGCTCTCGCTCGATTACGGACATTTGCGTATTTGATTTTATCGCGCACGCTGAGCGATCTCGCTCGCGTGATCTCGCGAACTCTTGTCGTGGAAAGGCTGAGCGAGCGCGCTCGCCGCGGCGAAGTTAATCTTGTAGCGATATTTGTGAAAAGGCGTCAATAAATGAGATCGCCATATGTAATATCATTGAATTAGAGTGTCCGTTTCTTTGTGTCAACCTTTCCCAGCCAGCGCGAACTTCGGCCTGTGAAAGTCAGCGCCGGCTTTCTTTACCGAGATAGAACCCAGAAAAATTAGCAGAGACCAGCCCATGGCGCACGGAGGCTGACCACTCTTGCAACTTGGCGGATAGGCTCCAGGCTGTTATCGATCAGGGTGGCACTATATCCAAATGGTTGCGTGCACAGTCTGGAGTCCCTCAAAGCAGTGTTCTCGGCCCCCTTCTTTTTGCCATTTTCATTAATGACCTTACCAGGGTCCTTTTCTTTTGCAACCACATCATTTACGCTGACGACACCCAGATTTACTATCACTGCCTGCCCTCTGATATCAACGAGGGTCTTGGGAGGGTTCAGCTGGATGCCCGGGCGGTTGCTGATTGGGCGGTCCGGAACGGGCTTCAGTTGAGCGTTGCTAAGACCAGGGTGATGATAATTGGTAGCGAACTCTATGTCTCCTCTCTCGACCTCAACTCCTTACCTAATATCGTAGTAAACAATATCCCTATCCCTTTCTCTGTCTCAGTTAGAAACCTTGGCCTTACCATCACCTCCACATTACAATGGAAACCTCATATTACAAATATCATCACTAAAGTTTATTCCAGTCTCAATACTCTGAAATTTTATAAGAAATCACTCTCTTTCACCACTCGGAAATACCTAGTTCAGACCCTCATCTTCCCCCATTTTAAATATGCCTCTCTTGCTTTCATAAAACTCGACAAAACACGCACTAATGCCCTGCAAATTGCCCACAATGCTTGTGTCCGTTTTGTGTCAGGCTTCATCTCTTTCATTCCTTCAACTAACATAGAATCTCATGTCTCTTTTCACCGTCTACGCCTGGGTTGGCTCACCCTTGAGTCTCAACGTCATATCTCTCTTATCCTTCATTTCTATAAAACAATTTCTTCATTCATGCCCAGTTACCTCACCACTCATCTCTCCAAACCTAATTTACCCAACATCAAAAGCTCATCTCGAAACCACCCAAAGACCTTTTCTTACCCTGCTCCCAGAACGGTGGCTTGGAATTACTCCTACGCCATTTATAGCATGTTTCTCTTAAACCAGCTTTCCATAACCGATTTTAGCATCGATCGTTTGTATGAATTAAAGCTCTGGCTAAATTCACTTTTTGCAATTCTTGAATAGCAGCTTTTCCGCAGACGTTTAAACCCTAACTATCCTGCAAACATGTCCTTACTCCTTAAATTACCTCCTGTTTCCCTGCCTTTTAATGTTTCGGCTTTCACTTCTACCTCCGAGTATCTCCTAACTCCAGGAAAATACCTCTCTTATAATTTCCCACCTTTTAACTCACTTCCTTGACACACCTATGCACATTTCTCACGCTCCTGTTTCATTCTTGCAGCCCACCTTCTACCTAACGCAGCCCTCTTCATCATTATATAGTTTATTTTATGTTTTGTTTTGTCAACTCTTTAGATACCACTGATTTCCTAGTTCAATTTTAAGTCTAGTTTAAGTTAATTTTAGCCTACTCGTTTCTATTCTTAAGTCCGTTGCGTTCCTACTGTACTGCGTATTCCTTGCAATATCCTAGCAGTCACTGTTACAAACTCTAGTCTGTTTTTTATGTTATTTTTCAGCGCTAATCACTAAGTCTAGTTTTAAGTTTTTATGTTATGATCTTACTGCTTCTCTCAATGTTATGTAATTTAATTTTAAGTTAATCCTTTGCTGTATCTTTTGCTTGGAGCCTACGGGGTTATACCTCATTGCTTAATAAAGTTTAATCAATCAATCAATCAATCAATCTCTCTCTCTCTCTCTCTCTCTTTCTCTTTCTCTGACTTCTCTATGAATCCGCTGATCAACCCTTTCTCTCCGCTAATTAGTGGCTCTCTTTTTCTCTATCTGCTCTTCTCGCTCTCGCCCTCATCTACACTATTTTTTAATGATGTGATCACGGAATCCATGTGCTTTATTTACGATTATAGATTTCAGGACCTGAATGCAAGGGGGACCTCACTTTAGGTGCTACGCTGGTAATAGCATATTTGTTTGCTTGACGTTCATGCATCCAGGGCAATATTTTTTCTCTTTCTCCGTTATTTTGAGTACGTTTGGTCTTTTTCATTAAAGTAAAGTTGTAATTAAATAAAGTATTTCTATTTTATAAAATCCGTATAAATAAGTTAATTAAATATTAATCTCTCCTTGTAATTGTTATTTAAGCTAATTAGCAAAATTGGCTCGATTTACTCAAACAGAAAAGATCCTGAAATTAAATATCTACATTATAATCAACGGATATTAGTTTTGCAAATCTATACCGTATCCAAACTAATACGTAATCATTTGATAATATCAAGGATTAGGTTTGAACAGATGTTGCGTATTCTTGTATAACGTTATTAGATTTTCACTCAATTTGTGTAATTATTAGCTAATATTTTAGAACACTTAGCAAGGCCTCAAATGAAAAGGAAGTTGAGGTGAAGGAATATTTTCAGGGTACAACATTGTTTATCTTTATAAATAAACAATTAAAATATATTATTCAATGTTAGAATATTTGAAAAATTACCTTGATAACTCGTGGCTCTGACTTGAAATTTGAATAGTTGAAGATTGTTTCTGTGATTGCCTCGAAATATTATTCTGGAAGTCACTTGGTGGTTGCTGTGACAGTCTCGAAATTTTAGTGCTAATCGAAGTGGTATTTCGCGAATGCTTTGGAATATTGTTCAACGTTGATTCAACACTGGTGCTTTCTTTGGATAAATGAAGTAATTGCTTAATCATAGTTATGATTAATTGCATGTCTTTGGTTATTGAATTTTCAAGGAAATTTAATTGATTTTGTAGTTGATCAATCCGGGTATTAATTTCTTCAAATGAACGGGCATGGTTGTATTCATAAATATTCTCTGATATTCCTTAAATGAGAAATCTACATTGGATTACAAAAGTTTAGATTGATCAGAAATATAATTTTACCTTGTCCATGAGATACTTCTGGTGATGGAGATGGAACATATTTATTATTGTTAATGGAGATATAATTAATTTTATTCTCGGCTTTCTGAGTACTGTTCTTATTTCCATTACTGATTGGAGCGTGTATGCTTTGGTGTGTTTTTTTGGTTACTAATGAAGTGATGTCTGTATATATAAACATAAGATTATATGAAGAGTAAATAAAAACATAATTATTTAAATTTTTTTTTAATATATGCGTGAAATATTTTTAACTAAATATTATTAGAACACCCAGGTAATTGAATAATTCAACCTATGATGAGAAATATATGAGAACATGTATAAAAAATTAAAAGGCAAACTAATGGGTTCAAATAGTGAGACTAATGTGAGTTAAGAAAAATTCTTGTTTCGTAAATTAATATTTGCTAATGAAATGTTAAGTCACTATCAAAAAATTTGAATATTATGTTTTATGAATTTTACATCAGTTATTGAATCATTTTTATTTTATCTAACGCTAATTTCTCTAGTTAGAAACATTAGCTGAGTGAAATATAAATCTAAATGAAAACCATCCATCAAGAATTGTATAATTCTTGTATGATTCAATAACGTGATTTAGTTATAATTACCGAACGTTTTATAAAATTAAAATTTTATTGTAGTGTGTAGTATTAGATATACGATTTGTAAATGGAGATAAAGTTATTTTATTGAATGGTTAATTTTGATAAATAAAAGTTTACACTATATTTTACATTTTGTGCATGCAATTTAGGATATATTGATGACGATGATGAGAAAGAGAGAGAGAGAGAGAGAGAGAGAGAGACAGACAGAGAGTGAAATGTTGATTTCGTGGCGGAATCAGCTTTTGCATGCAGTTATACTGCATTGAGAAATACAGAAAACAAGACTTTTACATTAAAAGAGGTCACGCTAATCAGACTCAACCCAAAATCCCCCCTTGTCATCTTTGCTTAATGGTATAAGGTGACAGATAAGAAAATCTTAACCGTCTTTTGAGTGACATATACCACGAACTTGTGCAACATGTGAGGTAATTGAATGTCAATCACTGACCATGCTATACATGGTTATGCACGTAAATACGAAGGGTATTCAAAAAGTAAGGTAACTTTGTGGTTTTCTCTAAAAACACTTATTTATTGGTCAATATTTATGTTGTCCCCTTCAAAGTGATCCCCGTTAGATATAATACTATAAACTTGTGCCAGCGCTTTTTCCAATCATCAAAGCACTTTTGATAATCATTTTGAGGTATAGCCTTGAGTTCTTCCAATGCAGTTTTTATCTCCTCAATCGTTGAAGATCGATGTCCTTTTTCGAAAAAAAGTCACTAGGAGCCAAATCCGGTGAATATGGAGGCTAAGATATGACTGTGATGTTGGTTTTGGCCAAAAAATTTCTCACAAGCAACAATGAATGAGCAGGTGCATTATCGTGATGTAAAATCTATAAATTGTTTTTTTAAAGTTCAGGACATTTTTTGCGTATTGCATCTCGCAAAGGATGCATAACTTCACAGTAATTCTCCTTATTGACCGTACGATCTTGTGATAAGAATTTCTGATAAACTATGCCACGGTAATTAAAGAAGACAGTGAGCAAAACCTTGACATTTGATCGAACTTAGCATGCTTTTTTCGGTCTTGGCTCTTCTGGAGTCTTCCATTGAGACGATTAAACTTTAGTTTCGACATCATAAATATATATCCACAATTAATCACCAGTTATAATCATTTTGAGAAAATCAGAATCTTCATTGACTTCATTCAACATCTCCTGAGAGATGATTATGCGACGGTTCTTTTGATCAAAATTAAGCAATTGTGGAATGAATTTCGCAGACACGTCTCATGCCTAAAACATCCGAAAGAATATCATGGCATGAGCCAACTGGTATGCCAACATCTTCTACAACTTCTCTGATGATGATTTGACGAGTCTTAACACAATTTCTTTTACTGCTTCAACGTTTTCATCTGTTATTAATGTGCTGGGATGTCGAGGGTGAGCTTCGTCTTCGATATTCTCTCGACCTTCTTGGAGCAGCTTATACCACTTATACACATTTTTCTTACTCAGAGTAGACTCATCGTATACAATTGTCAACATTTTAAGAGCTTTAGAGAACTGGATTCCATTTTTCACACAACATTTGATGCAAACTCTTTGCTCCATTCTTTTCGATAGAAGAAAATCGCCGAGCACATCAAACACTTCTAGTCGTATATAGTCAAAACTATGAATATATGATCGTGGCGAGTGTATCAACACAACAACAACAAAAATTCAAAACTTGAATGTACGTAGCCGAAAATTGAAAAGTTACCTTACTTTTTGAACACCCCTCGTACTTTCGTATTTTAGAATTTAAAACATCGTGTGTACTAACACTTGTAAATTTCAACTCTAGTCTCTTTGTAGCTTATTGCTTGATGATTAGTTGGATAGCTGGATTGCGTAGTTGTTATGGCTATTTAGTTAGTGTATCATTTATTAGTTTAATGTGATGTTTAAGTAGAAGAGTTGATTTTGATATGTCGTTAAAGCGAGATATCTTGACTTTTAGGAATTCCTTTAGTCATTGTGTTTCTTTTGAGTTTCTCGTATTGAGTTCATCGATGAAATAAGTCGTCGAACAGTTGTTTCGTATTTTTAACTTGATAGGTCATGGTCTTATATCAGTCCCAAAGCATAATGCTTTATATTTTAATTTGAAAGAAAAGGCCATAGCTGACTTTCTATAGTGATTTGAGCTCCTAGCTGTTTTTAAAAAGCAATTACAGGATCCTGTTTGGCGTGGTTTGAAAAGTTTTCACGCCGATTTTCAACCATTAAGATACATTAGAACCGGAGCAACTGCAAAAAAAACCGTTTTTCAGCACTTTCTTCACGTTTTGACTATACCTCACAGGGAAGTAGATATTTTTTGACGTACTTTATTTAGTTTTACACCTGAGGATTTTTTTTAAATGCTAGAGGTATTTTTAGAATTTTTTCGAAACCCTGAAGCTCGAAAAAACGCTTTTCCCAACGAAAAAATGAGATTTGTTGTGATTTTTTTATTTTTTCCTTCTTTTTTTAGCAAAAAGCCGATACGACGTCGTTTAAAGACTTATTTCGTTTGATTCTCCGGTTAAAAAGATATTGAATTATGCCTTAAAAAGTTCAAAAATTACCATGTCACAGACGTTATAGGCGTATAAACAACGTATAATCGTTACTATCGCTGATTTTTAAGTCTCTAGTTGATCTGCACTTGAATATTCTTGATATTTTCATAATTTCTTTTGGTATTATTACTTCTGATAACTTTTTTCGATACGCATATTTATTTTTAAATTTTATTCACAACTCAAGAGCTGACTGGAACGCTTTTTCAGGTGATGAAATGTTCTTTTTTTAAGGTTTTTTTCGCTTTTTCAGCATTTTGAAATATAAAGTACGTATCTCCGGCACCGCTTTGGAATCTATTTTATTCGACTTCTTGGTAAACATACAAAAAAATATGCCTCTAAAAATTGAATAACTTCCGTGCTCCGTGCTGCAAGCAGAACAAAACTAGAATATAGTGCAAAATCATTCACATTGCTAATTTTCTGTTCAAAATTATTTAACAATAACTCAACTACAGATAATACACATTTACAAATGTACATACAAACTTACATACATGTATAAGAAATAATTTACTAAAATATTAAGTAAACACATAAACGTTGGTACGAAATGGTTAACTACCTAGTTTCAAACCTTAAATTATTTTCTTATTTTGATCAAAATCATACCCACTTACTAGATCAGCTTTATAATGTTTCACAAAAAGTGATATGAATGTGCATGTTGAATAATTCATAATCCGCCAAGCTTAGTTTTGCGTTAATGTCATTATCTATTGAATTGATATATTAAGAAAGGAGTTTTAAAATGCATCTACCATTTTGACATAATCCTATGTAATAGCATTGGTGGCGTCATTTTGTACCAATATCACGGAGATATCTCCCACAGTGTTTGTTCCGAAAAAGCAACGTTATGCTCCAAGTAGTTCAATCTACATTCCCATAACCGTAACTCTAATCTAGCGCTAATATCGTTTTGGGTGTGGTATTTAGTCTGTGTTTACTTTTCCTATTTATAAACATTGTAAGAACTCTTTGTAAATTATTTTGTGAAATCGTTTAAATTATCTTGAAAATGGTTTGAATATTTGCAAGGTGGAACTTTTGTCGATATGAGAGTATATTATGTTTTCTCATGTCATTCTTGCTCTTAGTTATATTTAAATAATTGGCATTTTTGTAATCTTCGAATCACATAATACATTAATAGAATAAATATTGAATAACTATACGAGTTAGAATGTTTTCACAAAACATTCTAACTCATAAAGTTTCTAAGCAAAATATACTTTCTATTTTTATAATTCTACAATTTTTATTCACAATTTTAGCTATATTAGCTATTTAGCACAGTTACTTTATAAAAGACCAGCTGGGATCTACATTGTTATTAAAAAAAGAGCAAAAGGATCAATTTGAATATTTGTAGGCTTTTTTTATGATAATTCTCTTTGAAGATATCTTAGTTAAATACTCGTACAGGAGCAAATGTTCACATGTATACCTGAATTTCTTCGATGAACCTTCCATGACTTTTTGCTTTATCACAGAGTTATTAAAATTATTTTTAATAAAATTAACAATTGAATTTTAAAATAAAAAAGAATTTTTTTTCACAAAAAAAAATCATTCACACTATAAGGGTATAAATAAAGAATATAAGCCAATCAACAGAATTAATCAAAACCATATAGAATTCTCCAAAGTTTACGGTAAAGCAAAAATATCACGGAGGGTTCATTGAAGGAATCTAGGTTTAAGAATTAAACATTTGATCTTGTATGAGTACTTAAATAAGATGTTTTTGATGAATTCTATCATAAAAAATGCCTACAAATATTCTAATTAATCCCCGATAGTTGATAATACTCTTGTTTATGAAATATCTATTATTTCGATGGAAAAAGATTCTCATAAGGGAAGTGTTCGTATTACAAGAAGTATATCAAGTAATATTGAACCTAGCATCTTAGATCACAAAAACGAATTGATTTAATTCTTCTCACAAAGTTAATAAACTAACTCTCAAGC